CCTGAGACAAACACAAGATAAACCCTAACCGAGGAACATCTACCAAATAGGTCCTCAGAACCATCAAGGTCATCAAAAACAATGCAAGCGCCTCGGGCCAAAGGGGCCAAGGAGACACCCTGACCAAACTCTGCATCCTGGGTGGGGCAACAGCTGCAGGAGAGCCAGCACTTACGTAATGGCAGAAACCCCACTTGAAGAGAGCTCAGTGGCAGGAATCACACTGCTGCTAAGGGAACCACTGGGGTCCAGGCTTTGGACAAGGGGCAGTTGGAGTTATAAGTGCAGCCCGGCCGTCTGGTCATCTGACTTCTAGGCCAGTTGCTTAAGCTTCTCTTATCTGTAGAGTTGGGGTAATATTACCAAGCTGTAAGGGAAGAGGCCACAAGTTGGACAGATAAGGCTGAACCTGGGGCAGGGGTCAGGGGGAAACAGGGGCCGTGGAAATCACAGAGTACCCGGTGGCTGGATTTTCACAGACCTCCTGGCCTGTTTTCTCACGAAGTGCAGGTAGGATCAGCTACTTTAAGTTTTTAATTCTACTTCTCCTGGCGTTGCCTTTCATAGTAGATGCAGTCATTAGATCCAAGAAGTCATTAAAGTGTTTAATAAGGTTATTAAACTGACTAACAGCAGCTTTGGAAGCCATTTCCATAGGAAATCCATGTGATTCCAGGTACGGGGACATAGGGCTATCCTATGTGGCTGACAGCCTGTCAGCATCCCCGTGAAAGATGGTGGGCAGGTCGTGAGGGATGTGCCTAATTAAGACATTATGGGTGAACCTCGGCTGTCTGGGCATGCTGTTCGTGGCTGGAAGTGTGTTGAAACTTCACTAATTCCTACTAATTGCAGGGTGGGGGAGGAGAGACCCATCTGAATTACGGAATATTTTAAAATAAATGCGCTTCTATTATATATGAGGACATATTTTAACTCCAACTAGGCTAACAAATTGTTGCCTGGCACAAGTCTTAGGGGACGGAGTTACTGAGGTCACCAGGATGGTTTTCAATTATTTCTATGTAAATAGGCATTTCTGAAGTTCTTTAGGGTGCTCGGGGACAGTGCTCTCATGGATCTCCAGCCTTGCGTCAGTCCCCTTCTGCTGTTAATTGGCACACCCTTGGAGGATGGGATTGGTAAATTAAGATAAACTTGAGGCCATCTATGAAATACCTTACCAAATGATAAGTGGTGTCCAGGAGGCCGGGTGGGAGGGGTTTTTAATCAGCTGAGGTTGACTTTTAGTCCACCCCCCCAAGGCGATTTGCAGGCACTCACGGATTGGTTGACTGTCAGTGGGTACCCAGGAGTGACAGACATTCATGTCTCGAAGCCAGCCCAAGTTGCTGATCCAGGAGAGGAGGCCCATGGGTTAGTGCTGCACTGCCCTGAGAGCCAGGGAGAAAGTGGTCCTTTCAGAACAGTCAGATAAATCTCACCGGGAGAACCTGAGCTGGGTTTGAAAAATGATTGGATGGGGGAGCAAAAAGAGAGGAGGAAAAAGGAAATGGCCTAGCTTTAGTAAACAAGAAGACCAGCTTGTTCAAGGACGGGGATGACGGACGGCACACATCGCTGCAACGTGGGGAGGGTATAGGTACACAGGAGAAAGTTCTTGGAAGGTTTGCCTGACAGAGTGGACAGTGTGTGCTGGAGCACTGGCCAATCAGAGAAGTCTGGGGGTGAGCACTGAGACCGGCAGGGACTGGTGGGATGCTGTGTATTGAGCTGAGGGACAGAATGGCATGGGAAACATGGGCATTTGGTACTCATGGGTTTCTGGTGGATCAGGCTGGAGGCTTGGTGTAATGCAAAGATGCCTGGACTGGAATGAAATGCTAGGAATCACCAACCCATGTGGGTAATTGTGGTGTGTGTGTGTGTGTGTGTGTGTGTGTGTGTGTGTGTGTGTGTGTGTGTGTAAGTCACTGTAGACCCGAAATAAAGTCTGTTAGGAACAGCAGCCTGATGTGGCTTGCAGAGGCACAGCAGCGTAGCAGGGAGCAGAGAGGGGGCGCGAGCTTACCACCCACAAAGAGCAGCGCTGCTTAGCACCCCAGCTGCTCGAGTTTGGGTTTCGTTGCTGTGATAAAACAAACAAACAAAAAATAAAAACACTGACCAAAACAGCTTAGGGAGAAAGGGATTTATATTATCACAACTCCTAGATCACAGTCCATCACTACAGGAAGTTGAGGCAGGAGCTGAAACGGAAGCCACGGAGGAACCGTGCACTGGCTTGTTCCCTTGTGCTTCCTGGGTTGCCTTTTTTAGTCAGCCTAGGTCCCCCTGCCCAGGGGTGGTGTCGGCCACAGTAGACTGGGCCTCCCACATCAGTCAATCAAGAAAATGTCCCCAGACATGTGTATAGGCCAGTCTCATGTGGGCAGTTCCATCATTAAGGTTCCCTCTCCCTGTTTATGGCGTCGATTAAAAACCAGCCAGCGAACATATCAGCCAGGCTAGAGACTTTCAGTGTTGAAAAAGCAATGCAGAGGTTTAGTGCTGCAGTGAACTATGGGTGGTCATTTAAGATGTGTTTCTGATGGCCGGGGCACCGGGGCACCGGGGCGGTGGTGGCCCACATCTCTAATCCCAGCACTCGGGAGGAAGTGGTGGGTCGATATCTGTGAGTTCAAGGCCAGCCTGGTCTACACAGTGTCGTCGTTCCAGGACAACCAGATCTACACAGAGAAACCCTGTCTCAAAAAGCAAACAAAACTGTTGCTGGAGGCTTTCTTGTCCCACCAGGTCCTGTTCCCCTTCTCAGCCCCAAATAAACACACAGACACTATATTAATTATGAAACTGTTGGCCAATGGCTAGGGCTTCTTATTGGCTAGCTCTGTCTTAATTATTAACCTATTTCTACTAATCTATGTATTTCCATGTGGTCTTGGCTTACCAGAGAAGGGTCTGGATCTGCTACTCCTTTGGTGGCTACATGGTGACTCCTCTTGGCAGGCTCCCTCTGCCTACCTTTCCCAGAATTCTCCTTGTCTCCTCGCCCCACCTATCTTCCTGTCTCTATTCACCAAAGGATGTTTTATTCATCAACCAATAAGAGAAATGTATATTCAGAAGGACATCCCCCATCACACAAAAACAAGAAATGCATTTCTGTATTCTGGCATGGCCTTAGAATGTTCACATGCCCATCTCTAGGCAGAGATTAGGCTCCAGCCTGCTGGGAAGAGAGGCTTTCCCATAGCTTACCACTGTGCCGTGTCTCCCTTTGCACATTGGACAAGTGCAGTTCAGCCCGTAGGTCACTCTTTGCTGAATAATTATACTATTAGGGTGTTTGTTAATAAGTTTCTAAATCAACTTCTTTTTTTATTAAAAAAGGTGTGTTGTGGGGAGTGTGAGTCGGATTTAGAGTTCAAAGCTAGTCTGGGTTACATAGTGAGATCCTGACTTGGAAGGAAGGAGGGGCCATTGATGACGGTGATGATAATTTGAGACAAATCTCACTATGTAGCCCTGACTGACTTGGACTCACTAAAGTAGACCAGGTTAGCCTAGCATTTGAGGCGACCTGCTGCTTCTTCCGACTGAGTGCTGGGATTATGAATGTGTATCACTAGGCCTGGATTGACTTTCCTATTTCTTTTCTTTACCCCTTTTATTGAAAATTGATTCTGTTCTCATATCATATATCCTGTTTTAATTTTCCCTTTTCTCACTCACAAGGCCTGGATTAGATTTTCTTATTTCATAATGCTCCATGCTCTCTCTGAGTTGATAAGCCTTCCCCATGTGTGTGATTTGCTTTATATCTGTTTAGTTTTAATGGAGCATTCCCTGGTGTTTCCAGTAGTGTTTTGTTATTTGATCTACCTAACAGCTGATACAGGTTGGACAGATATTCTTCCCATTTCCAGAGGCAGAAAGTGAGGCTTGGTGAATTAATTTTAGGAGGTGGGTGAGCCAGGATTTATTTGTAGCTTTGCGACTGGAAATTCTGTCCAACGTTGGCATGCCAGCGACAGGGCAACAGCAAGTGAGCAGGGTGAGAAAAGATTGTATGTGTTGACTTTAGAACCACTTACCTGGGTTACCGGAGTGGATTACTAATATGTGGTATGGTTGGGTGAATGTGGCATTGTAGTAACAGGGGGCCTTAACAGTTCAGACATTCCATGCTTTTGCCCCAGATCACACATGTGTGCTATGTTGACACAGGTGTCCGCCCTCTTCCTTCCCACGCTTTGGCTGTGGGTTTGTTTTTGAGTCTCGTCTTGTAGACCTGACTGGTTGGGACCTCAGTGTTTGGCCCATGGGCTTTGAACTCATGGCATTGCTGTCTCTGCCTCCTGAGTGCTGGGATCACAGGCGTGAGCCACCATGCCCAGCTTCCCCTTTGCCTTCTGTGTGAAGACCTCCTTTTCAACAGCAGGCCCATGCTTTCCTCCTGCTGCTCACGTGTGACACTGAGTGGCTGGAAATTGTTGCCTTCTGTCTGACTCATCTGAGGACACCTTCCTCTTCCATGGAAAACTGATTCTGCCGACACCTTCTGTGGGAATGTGGCTTCCACGGGACGTGGTGACTCGGAGCCTTCCCTCAGTCCTCCGTTAGGCACAGTCAGTGCCAAGGATAGTGCTACTTTTGAGGGCCAGTGAAACTTTTAATTTCTTTTAAAATTAGAAGAGTGAACTTTTAGGTCAAAGGAAGGCTTTGAAACAGTCATCTCTATACCAGCATAGCTAAATATGAGTGTGTGTGTGTATGTATGTATGTATGTATGTATGTATGCATGCAACATATGCATATATACATTATGTAACATATGATGTATATAATTAAGTGTGTGTGTATGTGTGTGTGTGTGTGTGTAGGAAAGACCCATGGAAGTCAGAATGGAGCCTTGGACAGGGTTCAGTCTTCTGCAGACTGTGGTCTTTTCTTCTCATCCCAACCTACATCCGCGTGGTACAGCTGTGAACCCTATTTTTCCTCTCTCCTTCTCTCCCTCCTTTCCTGCTGGCCAGGCACACGGATTTGTTAAGGAGAAGTAGGAAAGAGCTCCAGAGAGCAGGAGAGTTCCACAGGAGAACGTGCCCATAACCTATTTACCTTCCCGGCCATTGATTCACTAAGGATTGGCTGTTTGCAAAAATCGTGTGGGAGCCCGAGGGATGGTGCAGTGATTAAAAGTGCGTACCATTACTACTGTTTTTTTCTTTTTGGTTTTTCAAGACAAGATTTCTCTGTGTAGTCCTGGCTGTCTCAGAACTCACTCTGTAGACCAGGCTGGTCTTGAACTCAGAGATCCACCCACCTCTGCCTCCCAAGTGCTGGGATTAAAGGTGTGCGCCTCCACTGCCTGCCTGGTAGTGCATACCATTCTTGCCAGAGGACCTGAGTGCAGTTCTCAAGCTGCTCAAAACTGTTGGGATAAAGCTCGAGGGGGACCCTGGCGGATTCCATGGCAGTTGAGGGCGACCGAGGCGAGGGACAAACATGCCGGACAGACAGAGCTGAGTGAGAAGTTTTATTAGAAAGGGGAGGGAAGGGGGAGGAAAGAGAAAAGAGGTAAAGAGACACAGAGAGAGGACGGAAAGAGAGAGCAGGAAAGAGAAGGTGGAGCCTTTCTTTTAAAGAGCCAGGGAACATATACCTGCCCTGAGCAGGTGGGTGACAGGCAGGGCTGGGCTGGGCTTGCCTGGATTACAACAGAAGCTGCCTGTAACACTGTCTCTAGGGGATCTGATGCCTTCTGACCTCCAAGGGCACTGCACTCTCCTTCACATACCCACCCCAACACATAATTAGAAACAAAGTAAATTAAAAAAAATCCCCAAGCTTTGTATATGTGAAAAGCACCACAGGAAAGAATTTAACACATATAACACAGATTAAAACAAATATTATGGCCAGAATGTGTAGTGCTTTCCTATATTGTTACCTGATTTTTATTGTCTCTGAATGATTTTTTTTAAATGAGATATAGAAGCAGGAAAATCATGAGTTGGAGGCCAGCCTGGATCACATGACATGTCACGACTAGTCTCAGGAAGACCAAAGGAAGCAGGGTGTGGTGGTTCAGCCCGCTGTGAGTTCAAGGCTAACTTGGGTTACATAGTTCCGGGTCAGCCTGGCCTGAAGCATGAGACTGTGTCCCAAACAGTGAAAACATTTAAAAATGAGTCTGTCTGGGACATGCACTCACAGCCCCTAGATCCTGAGGGCACCCAGTGAGACAGGGTGTCAAATGCAGGGTCAGAGGGTGTGCTACCTTGTAAGACAAGACTCGCTGGCTTTGAACTCCCAGAGATCTGCCTGCCTGTGCCTCCCGAGTGCTGGCACTAAAGTCATACACCACCACGCCTGGCTCTTATACGGGGAAACATTTAATTAAGGCGGCAGTTTACAGTGTCAGTGGTTTAGTTCTTTATTATCATGGCGGGCCATGGCAGCATGCAGGCGGACATGGAGCTGGAGAAGCAGCTGAGAACTCTCCATCTTGTAGGCAATGGGAAGGGAACACTGGGTGTGGCTTGAATAAATCTCTATATGTATCTTTGTCTGTCTGTCTGTCTGTCTGTCTGTCTGTCTGTCTGTCTGCGTGCCTACCTCAAAGCCCGCCTCCATAGTGACACACTTCCTCCAACAAGGCCACACCTACTCCAACAAAGCCACACCTCCTAATAGTGCCACTCCCTTTGGGAACTTTTTTCTTTTTCTTTTTCTTTTTTCCCCGAGACAGGGTTTCTTTGTGGCTTTGGAGGCTGTCCTGGAACTAGCTCTTGTAGACCAGGCTGGCCTCCAAATCATAGAGATCCTCCTGCCTCTGCCTCCCGAATGCTGAGAATAAAGGCATGTGCCACCAACGCCCGGCTGGGAACCATTTTCTTTAAAACTCCACATGTGTTTTCCTACTTGTCTGTGCACTACATGTGTGCAGTGCCCAGGAAAGCCAGAAGAGGGCGGCATATTCCAATAGGAACTGGAGTTACCATGTGGGTGCTGGGAATTGAACCCTGGTCCTTGTTCTTTCACTCTTACTGTCTTAAAAAAAAAAAAGCAGCAAAACTAACCACTGTGTGTGTGTGTGTGTGTGTGTGTTACTAATTTATCGTGTTGTTTTTGACCCAGACTTTAGCTAAGCCCGGCCTGGAATTTATGGCTCTCACTCCTCCCCACACCCCTGCCTCCCAAGGGCTGGGATTACAGGCGTGCTCCATTGTGCATGTTTTTAAAAGGCTTTTCTTTTACTCATCACACAAAGATGACGGTGAAATGGTTTGCTGTAAAGAGAAAAATATTAAAGAATAGCAAATCTTAGTGGGAAGGAAGGTGAGTGTCTAACTGTAAAGTCACCGTGGCTCATTCTCTCGGGGTTGGGCTGGGCAGTTGTAGGTCCCCGGGGTTTGGCTTTTCATGTGACCTTTGTTACTCTTTCTTATTTGTGACCTAGAAAATGATTTGCTAGACAGGCCCTATAGATATTTGAGAGGACATAAGTAACCGCTGCATTGAAAAGCTGAGCCAAATGGGAACTTAGCTGTCGTGATTGGGTATCGAGAGTCCGTTTTGGACTCCATCTTGACTCTTTGGATACCCGCAGCCCTGCCCCCAAGCGCCCAGCTGCCTTTGTGCATTATTTAAAGTTTCCGATTGTGAGACGTGTTTTGTGGACTCTGGTGACACCTGACTCATGCTCTTTGCTTCTTGTTTTCTGAGGGACAGCGGGCACACTGGCTGGCACTCCAGCTCCTTCCAGCCCTTCCCATAATCCCGACACTGTTCTCTGTTCACCATGCCCTTACAGGAGTTCGTAAGTGTCTGGGTCCGAGACCCCAGGATCCAGAAGGAGGACTTTTGGCACTCCTATATCGACTATGAGATCTGTATCCATGTAAGTACACAGGCAGAAGGAAACGGGGTTTTAGGTGGTGGATGTTTTATGTCATATAATGATGCTGAAAACAAAACAAAACAAACCCTTAATTCAAAGAACTGAATTGGGATGATTCCAGGTAAGCTTGTGTTACAAATGAAGCGGTAAGATGATTCTTGCAGTTGAAGAATTGCTTTTGGAAGCTCATATTGTACTTGTTTTTTCTTTTAAAAGAAAAAAAAAACTACTGATATTTTAATGTTTATGAACTTTACCTATAGAGATGTGAATATTTAAAAAATTAATCGTTAAAAAGTGTAACTCATCAATAGTATTTCTTTCTGATTTTGTATCTCAAGATAAGATATTGTTTAGTACATCTTAAGTTTTTAGGGGACATAGAATTTTGGGGAAAAGAGAGACAAAGTATTAACCATTTTTAAATAAATTCAAGGTGTTGGTTTTCATTGTAGCATTTTTGCTCATATGCGCCTTTACATTTTGTTCTATTTTATATATAGAATCAAGAAATTTGAAAGTCAATATGTGCAGTTAGTTTGCCTTAGTCTAGATTTTGAGCCATTAGTGCAAAGAATAATCAGCTAGCAGTGACCTTCCCCTGAGTGAATAATACTTAGCTGTAAGCTTCTGAGATGTCTGTGTGGTGTGGAATCTGCAGCTCATCTTGAACAAGGTCAGCACACATGTCTTCCATGGTGCCACGTGGAGAATGTCCGATGTCATCTGTGCCACCGCCACTGCTGCTGCGGTGGGTCACGAGCAGCATAGACAGGGCGTAAATGAAGCCCGTGATTGTGTCCCCCCCCCGTGATCTTGTCCCCATGATAACCGCGGGAAAAGACGGGAGGTGACACCTTTTTGTCTAGAAAATAAGCTAGGCAGAAGCTCTGAGCGCCTCTTTCCCCCTTTTCTCTTTTTTGATTTTCCTAAGCCATTGCTGTATAAGTTGTTTGCTTTTGTTGTTGCTCTTTGTTTGTTTTTTGAGACAGGGTTTCTCTGTGTAGCCTTGTCTGTCCTGGAAGTTGCTTTGTAGACTGCGCTGGCCTCCAGCTCAGAGACCTACCTGCCTCTGCCTCTGCCTCCCGAGTGCTGGGGTTAAAGGCGGGTGCTACCACTGCCCGGCACTGTGTAAGTTATTTTGCTTTTGTTTTTATTCAAAAGCTCACACCAAGGATCCATTCTCTGGAAAATTATGGACATCTAAGAGTGGGCATTTGGGCTGGAGAGATGACTCAGCAGTTACAGTCACTCGGTGCTTTTGGGAGTCCGGGTCCCAGCACTCATTAGAGCTCCCTGCAGTTGTAACTCAGTTTCAGGGGATCCAGCCCCTCCACCAACATCCTCAGGCTCCCGCATGCACGGAGTGCACAGACTTACACCCAGCGCTCGCTCGCTCGCTCTCTCTCTCTCTCTCTCTCTCTCTCTCTCTCTCTCTCTCTCTCTCTCTCTCTCTCTCTCTCTCTCTGTCTCTCTCTCTCTGTCTCTCTCTCTCTGTCTGTCTCTCTCACACACACAAATTAAATGACTAAGATTTTAAAAAGGACTAGGCCTTTGAATCAGATGTATCACACCTATGATCCCAGCTTGTGAGAGGTAGAGGCAGAGGATCAGTTCAAGAGGGAGCCTCAGCTATGTAGTGAATTCAGGGCCAACCTGGTCTACCTGAGAACCTGTCTCAGTCCCTCACCTCTCCCCTCCAAAAAGAAGGAATGTGAAGAAAAAAAAAAGAATAAGCATTTGAAGCAAAATTAGATTAAATTGCTGTTTAACTGCCTCTAAATGTGTGTGATACTTTAGGGTGTCATGAAATTTGATTCTTTTCTTTTTTTTTCCGAGACAGGGTTTCTCTGTATTGTGTTTTTTGGACCATGTCCTGGAACTCGCTCGGTAGACCAGGCTGGTCTCGAACTCACAGAGATCCGCCTGCCTCTGCCTCCCGAGTGCTGAGATTAAAGGCGTGCGCCACACCGCCCGGCGAAATTTGATTATTTTCAGGAGATACTGAAATCTAGATTATCCTGTGCTAATAGATTGTGGGATATGATTCAGAATCTACCTGGTGGTGCTCTGGTGTTCTTCTGAAGTGTTCCTTAGTTGACAATGACTGAGTCTTCTTGTCTTGGTGGAGGGCAGAGACAAGCATGTGGATTTAGAGGAGCCGAGTCAGTTAGTGATCTCAGTGTGGACGTACTCCTGTGGTCCACAGGTTCAAAGCCTGTAGATGGGTGAGACTTTTGGCTAGCCTCCGTTAGCTCTGCAGGCATCAGCTGGGACTCCGTTCACTCAAATGAGATAATGCCAGCGGACTCTGGAATGTCCATCTTTACTTGGGTTGTAAATCGGTAGATGACAGAGCTGCCTGCCCCGTGGTTGACTGACTCACACCCTGTGGACCTTATTCTGGTATTAGTATCCTGTGAATTTTTGTTACTGACTATGAGCTGGGAGATGGGATTTAAATGGGCCCAGTGTCAGAAGTCCCTGCAGTAGCCTGGAACTCTCTGAGGAGAGCACCGAGAAGATGTCTGCTTGGGTCTTGTTAGGGCCCTAATTCTGGTACAATAAAACCTTGGTCCCCAAGGAGCGCGTTAGAGTCAGGCTGTGTTTTGAAGTTGTCCTGAAGGTTTCGTTTCTATAACAGCGGAAGTGGCTAGATGTTGTGTGGCCTTTGCAGGTGAGTCTTAACCTCCAGGAATCCAGGAACTTTGCCCTGTGTTTCATGGGGGACAGCCTATGGGCAAACGCATACAGTCATTTAAATTTCCAACGATGAGGTTGGGCTTCATTGGCAGGATAGTTTTTGAAAATAATACAGGTCTTAGTAGCAAAAAACTAGTCTCTCATTTAGCAATGTAATGATTATGAACTTCATTTAAAGTGATTATATAAAACTGAGCCGGGTGGCACACTCCTGTAATCCCAGCACACGGGAGGCAGAGGCGGCCAGATCTCTGAGGAGGCCAATCTGGTCTACAGAGGAAGTTTCAGAACAGCCAGAGCTAGGAGGTCTTACTTTATTTTTTTACTTAAGGATGGTGGTTGAGATTTTAGGCAGGATCTTACTCCGTAGCCCAGACTGCTTGGATTCACTTTTAAGCCCAAGCTGGACCCTGTCAGGTGGTGATGTTGCTGCCATGGCTTCTCGAGTCCTTGGCTTCCAAGTGTGAGTCGTGACACTGACTGAGCTGACCATGTGTTTTGAAGTCACAGATGTTTGTCAGCTTTTCATTTTACCCCAAGGAGGCTGTTTACTCGTCTGTGTTTACCCAAAGGAGTGAGTAGCTTAGGCTGGGGACTCTGGACCTGTTTTTCCCCCGAGCCTGTCTCAGGGCCCCTGCAGGAAAACAGGCGGTGGTAACTAACAGCGTTGACTGTACTAACAGTGTTGACTGTACTAACAGCGTTGACTGTACTTGCCTGGTGCATTTTGTCCATCTTCATGCCTGCCCTGTTTTCCCACCCAGGAAACTAGAGCTGGTACCATTTTCCTGGACTAGAACCAGGGCTGACGCTTATGTCCACCTGTTATGGGTACTGATGCTGAATGGGCTCTGCTGCTTTCCTGACTCAAACCACCCACCCCTCCCATTGTCTAGAGGGTCAGGAAATGTTGTTTAGGGACTTGAGGATCCCCAGTGCCCAGTGGCATCCATGTTGAGATACAGATGTCTGCGATGCTTTGTGAAGGACTGTGGGAGGTCAATTTTTATCTACAGAAGCTTCAGGATGCTGTTAAAAATGCAGTGGGTGCCCCTAAGCATTTATCGTGTTAGGGCTTTGTGTGTGTGTGTGTGTGTGTGTGTGTGTGTGTGTGAGAGAGAGAGAGAGAGAGAGAGAGAGAGAGAGAGAGAGAGAGAGAGACAGGGTCTCACTGTGTAGCCCAGGGTGGATTTGAACTCCTGGCCCTCCTGCCTCAGCCCCTTGAGTCTGAGATGACAGTGTGGGCTACCATGCCTACCAGAATTCATTTCTTAATCTTTGGAAACGATGTTTATGGTCGTAGAGCACAGGTTTCCTTCAGGATTCCCGTCAGGGCATGGCCCTGCCAGCCCAGAGATAACACAGCTCATTCATGTCATTGTCACCTCCAGGCCTGAGACTGGTGAGTTACACTTAAGATTTCACAGTGCCCACTTAAATGGAAATAATGTTTCATGGTATGCACCAATCACATTATGAGTTACGTGTGTAATAAGAAACTGTTTTTCTCTTAGGTGAGGCTCATATTTTTCTGTTTCTGCGCAGACTAATAGCATGTGTTTTACCATGAAAACATCTTGTGTACGAAGAAGGTACCGAGAATTCGTGTGGCTGAGGCAAAGGCTCCAAAGCAACGCGTTGCTGGTGTAAGTGGCTGATGGGTTAGATTACGGAGGTCTGTCTGTGATAGTCTAGAACTGAAAGTTGGTAGTGTTAAGACGCATGAGGTAAGGGTAGGTCACAGACTTGCTTCCTCTGCTCGGTTCTGTGCCTTCTGCATCCGTGTTTAAAATCCGTTGTGTGACTTCACCGGCCTTTATGGGTATTGATCACGAATGGTCCCAGAAGTAAGACATTTCCCTTTAAGTTTGTATTATACAATAATTATGCGATGTCATGTGATAATTATTACCATGCACGATGTGCCTTCACTTTGAGGGATTTCTGTAGCCCAGTCAGTCACCTTGATTTGCTGATTGATTTCTTTCTCATCAGACAATTACCAGAACTTCCATCTAAAAATCTATTTTTCAACATGAACAATCGCCAGCATGTTGACCAGCGCCGTCAGGGCTTGGAAGATTTCCTTAGAAAGTAAGTAAGGGTCTGTAGCCAGGCTGGGGGCGGGGGCAGAGAGAACCTGTGTGGGAGATTACTTCTCTGAGATGCAGCTGGATGCGGCTGGACGGTAGCCCACACATAGTCATGTCCTGTATTAGAGCGCCATCTTGTGGCCTACATTGAATGGTGCCGATGTGAACCAAGCCTTCCAGAAACAATGGACGACTGAATCATAGAATAAACACGGTCTCCTAAGACTTAAGTAGATACAGTGGCAGCTTACACTTCTAATGGAAGCACCCATGAGGTTGAGGCAGGAGGATTTCTGTGAATTTGAGGCCAATCCAGGTTTTGCAGTAAGTTCCGGGCCACTCCTTGTCAAGCAAATACTCCCCTGCCCTAAAACAACGGTAATACCAGCAACAAACCCAAGGCAAACAGCAGCAGAAGGGAAGCAGATGCAGGTTCCTCGGCAGTCTGGCTGACAGAAGTAACACTCTGAGGGAATAAGTGTGCCTTATTATTTAAAACAAACGCTTCCTTAAGACTGGCTTTGTGTGCAGCCGCTAGCATCGAGAGGCCTAGTCGTCTGCACCACAGCCCTGGAGGCCCTTCTCCCACTGAATGGCTTTGTTCTTCCTTGCAGAGGATGGTTTGTCAGTGCTGCCCTGGGTTTCTGTGACGGGGCACAGGTCTGCCTGAGTTCTCGCCTGGAGGCTCTCCCTTGTCTCACTCCTTCTCTAGGTTGCCGGTACAGGACACTCGTCCCACACTGGTTGGCACACAGACTCTGAAGCTAGGCTCCTGGGGTTCAAATCCTGGATCTGCCACTTCACTCTCTGGGAGTTAGGCAGGCCTTTTCCTATCTCTGTGCCTCTGTTGTCCCACCTGTGAAATGGGGACAATGATGGTCCTTCCCCCATAAGGACTGAGACAGTTGAGTAGGCTAGGGACTGCAGGGCACGGACGACGGTGCCTGGCTGCCTACTTTTCAAGTGTTGGCCGTTATTACTATTATTTTAGCTCACACAGGGATGAAATAGCTGTGAGCTTGTTTGTTTCACACTCTAGATAGGGAGGTAGGCGGAGTCAGGTGAGTACCCGTCAGAGGCAGGGGCCTCGAGTGTCCTGTTCTCATCTAGTGGCTTTGGGGTCTGAAATTATCTCCTTTCGAGTTCACTAAGTAGGACCCTGAGCTAGTCTGAAACGATACACTGCTTTCCCATATGCCTCACTTATAAAGGGCCTGGGTATTAAGTATGCGCATGAATATTAATACTTACTTCTATTAGATTGACACAGTGCCTTTGCTTCCAAGAGGTCACTGGGGCACGCGGAAAGCTGGAAGCTTGTGCAGTGTGTAAGGGCAGAGGAAAGACAGACGCCTGAGCCATTCCTGCGAAAAGAGCTCCGAGGGGCCCGTTGGCTGAGTTGAGTCCTCTGAAAGCATTGCAGAGGGGCCCTGTGTGGTGTCACAGAACAAAGAGCTGGTCAGGACTTTCTCACTTCCCCCCTTCTCTTAATTGTCTCTAAGGTGCCCAGGTGGCCGATGGTTTCTCCCTTAAGATGTAGAGCAGCCTCATCTCAGATGCTCCCCCAGGGACGCCTGCAGCCTGGCTACCACCTGGTTAGCCTAGGCAGGAGCAGACAAACAGCCCTAGCTAGCACTGCGGAGCTGGTGGGCTGTTGCAGGTTCAGGGACAGCAAGCATCTTTGTGTTTATGTCACTAGGTAAATGCAGGGCACTGGCCATTCCTCTGTCGCTGGTCTTTGAAACAGGGTCTCATGTAGGCTAGACTGGCCTCAAACCCTCTATGTACTCGACTTTGACGTTGAACTCTCGATCCCGGCCCAGTGCTGGGACCTCAGGCGCAGGGTCTCATGTAGGCTAGACTGGCCTCAAACCCTCTATGTACTCGACTTTGACGTTGAACTCTCGATCCCGGCCCAGTGCTGGGACCTCAGGCGCGGGCTGCCACGCCCAGCGTCTGCTGTTTGCTCCCTGTGCTGTTTTTTTTTTTTTTAAAAGATTTATTTATTACAAATACAGTGTTCTGTCTACATGCCAGAATAGGATACCAGATTGAATTGAATGTGGTTGCTGGGAATTGAACTCAGGACACCTGGAAGAACAGTCAGTGCTCTTAACCTCTGAGCCATCTCTCCAGCCCCCCCCTGTGCTGTTTTTAAGCACTGTACCTTCACAGTTGGCCTCCCGGCCTCTGCTCCCACGGGATTGTGCTATGGCCGAGGTGCTTTGTACTGGGTATTGTTAGGGCTGTTCACCGGCTTTGTTGACACACACGTCACAGTGACGAGCACCCTGCTTCAAGAGCTCGGGGAACTTGGCCTTAAGTCTCCCATCATTCCTGGCTCTTGGCGTTTTCCGGGCTGTGAAACCCGGATGCTTTTGAGTCCCTTAGTTGCTCTGGTTGTGGAGTGGAGCAGTAGAGCTAGCGCACTGCTGTCCTTGCTGGTCGTTGTGTTGTTCCGGTAACTAACTGCTTGGAGGGGACTCTGAGAAGTCCACGCTGACCCCTCGTCCACAGCCGGTGCCAACGCTGCCGGCCCTGCACAGACACAGAACAGGAACGGACGGAGTGCAGACGAGTTGTTATTCCCCAGATGCTTCCACCCGGGAGCTGGAGGGCTGGTTCAGTAGTTAAGAGCATGCACTGATCTTCCAGAGGTTCTGGGTTCAGTTCCAGCACCGATACGGCGGCCACCACCCTCTGAAACTCTAGTTCCAAGAGATTCAAAGCCCACTTCCGACCTCCTTGGGCACCGGGTATACACATGTGCACCTCTGTGGTGCACATATATACATACATACATACATACATACATACATGCCAAACGCGCATATACATGAAACAAAAATAAGTCTGACATTTAAGAAAACAGGTATGGATAGTAGTCATCTGATGATCAAATCACGCAGCTGATGCTTTCCTGGGGTACCGTTTGCTCCATGTGAACATTTGCTTCTAATGAGTTAGTTTCACATGGAAAATGAAACGGGAGGGGGCTAGAGAGTCAGTCAGCGGTGAAGAGCACTTGTTCACTATTGCAGAGGGCCCACGGATGGTTGCTAGGAAACAAACACTGGGCCCTCTGCAATAGTGAACAAGTGCTCTAACCCTAACCCTAACACTAACACTAACCCTAACCCTAACCCTAACCCTAACCTAACCCTGACCCTAACCCTAACCTAACCCTAACCCTGACCCTGACCCTAACCCTAACCTAACCCTAACCCTAACCCTAACCCTAACCCTAACCCTAACCCGGGGCTCTGCTATGGATCTTCTGAGCTCCATGAGTACCAAGCAGGTACGGTGCCCATACATACATGCATGCATACATACATACATACATACATGCATGCATACATACATACAGGCAACACACACACACAAAATCAGCGGGATAAATCTAATGTAAAAGTGAAAAACAAAATAAAAGTGGGCAAAGGTACTTGCACCCAAGCCAGACAGCCTGAGTCTGGTCCCCAGAACCCAGAGGTGAGGGAGAGAACAGACCCCTGCAAGCTGTCCTCTGAACTACGTGCTGCGTCCTGCACTCATGCCCCCACGGCGCATGGGGTAAATAATTAACAGTTTCCAGTTGGCTTTGGGCTGAGCCCAGTGACTGAGCTCTGCGTCACGCTCCTCTACACAGTTCTCCTGTTTGGTCCAGCTTGGGCGTGGGTAGCAGCCACGCATGTCTTCACCCCTGGCGCCCCTCCTGCATTCAGCTCTCGGCCACTTAGGGCAGCTGGGAGAGATGCGCGCTTCAGAACTGTACCTGAGCACCCCGTGGTGTCTGTCCTCTGAGGCATCACTAGTCCCCCATTGAGTAGGGCCGTCCATCTGAAGCTGATCCCTGGTTTGGCGGAAGGCCTCTAGAACCAACAGCATTAAAACGTGACATGTGCTAGTTACAGACTCTAGCATATGTTTAAAGTGTTTGACATTTATATACATTTTGAAATTATTAAAATTGCATGAAGACCAAGGCATTTCTGCATATGTGTGTGTATATAATGTAAAATGAAATTTTCGTTTTAAGGTTATTTGCGTAATAATATATAGTCAATCACAATACATTCTGGCGGACGCTCATGGAGGAATTGGAAATTGTTTGGTCGTTAGGGAAGATTATGCGTTGATCTTGTACATGCTGGACATTGTAGGTGCTTTGTTTCGGTACTTACTAAGTCTTGGAAGGTGGGGATTGTCTCACCTGTACAAATTAGCCAAGTGTACGAAAGACAGGGTCCTGTGTTCAGGGAACTGCTGTGTTTATGATCAGCAGAGCAGCCACTGTAAGCTGAACTGCTCAGTGTGATTGCGAGGTTTACAAAACATTCGTTTTCCCTTGTGACTAATTTCCCTTTTGTGTTCTTTCTTCTCGTTCTGTGCTGTAAGAGTGCCAGAGCCTTCTAGAGTTGTAAAGTCTGTGTGAGTCTCCAAATGAGTCGACTCTTGCTTACAGAGTGCATTCTGGTGACAGCACACACTCCACAGTTCAGACTTCCCATTGTGCTTTTACTTTTCTATTCATTTTGTTGTTGTTTTTGGGCAGCCCAGGCTGACCTTGAGCTGGCTATGGAATGGAGGACGACTATAGTGACAAAGGTGTCTTTTTAAAAACAAAAGACACATACACACAGAGACACACATTCCACATAAACACACACACAGGTACACAGTTTTTGTTTTCAAATAAATCCTCATGTTCAATAGAGGGCACCACAGCATAGATTATGAATATCTTTCAATGAATATTTATTTATAGGTTTAAATTATTTCTTTCATGGTAAATAAAGAGGCTGATTTAGCTTTTTTTTTTGTCCAACATCAAACTCATACACAATAGGCCTGTGTAGGGAGCATCATATTGAGTTCAGAATATCCAGGCCATCTGTAGAATTAAGTGATTTTTGTGTACCATATTATTCTTCAACTGAACCAGTGTATAATATGCTTAGTAAAATCACATTAGGGAAAACCAGACTTTACTGTATCCAATGAAGGAGAAAAGCAGGCCTTGTCTTGTTTACTATTGTTAGGGTGGAGGGCGTGGCCTTGTCTTGTTTACTATTGTTAGGGTGGAGGGCGTGGGGGAGAAGCAACTTTTGACTTACATTGTAAATATATTTCCAGACATTCCCTTAAAATTCTGTAGGCTGCCTTGGGAAACTCCCACTGTTAGAGCTTGAAAATAATATACATTCATTTTATTTGTTTATTTTTTGGGGGGAGGGTAATGGTCTCAATATGTAGGCTTGGTTGTCCTAGAACTTAATCTGTAGATCAGGCTGGCCTTGAACTCACAGAGCTCTGCCTGCCTCTGCCTCCTCAGAACTGAGATTAAAAGTTAGGTGTCACCACAACGACTTATACACTTATTTTTATGGAGGCTTCTAGCAATTATGTTTTATTGATTGTTTTGCAAAGTCCTCTTTGTAGGAGGCTTGATTCATTTTCTTTTTATTTCTTTATTTTTTATTTCATGTGCATTGGTGGTTTTTTCCCCCATGTATGTCTGTGTGAGGGTGTCAGAACTCCTGTAACTGGAGTTACAGTTGTGAGCTGCCCGTGTGGGTGCTGGGAATCGAACCCGACTCCTCTGGAAGAGCAGCCAGTGCTCTTAACTTCTGAGCCATCTCTCCAGCCCTTGAAATTGATTTTTATCTTTAGATTTGTTTTTGGAAAATGTGGTGCAAATAGGACTAAAGAAAACAAAAGGGTTTTCTGCTCAGATACTCGTAGGCACAACACTCAGATAGGAAAACTGTCACTCAGAAGAGGGACGCGTGACCTCCCATCCTCCCGAAGGTTACATCTTTTAAATTAAAAAAAAAAACTTTAAATGTATTATTACTTGAGATGGTCTCACAGTGCTGCTCTGGCTAGTCTGGAACTCTTTGATTCTCCTGTCTCAGCCTCCTCATCCTAAATCTGGGATTATAGGTGAGTACCACCACTCCGGACTCTTAAGATTTGTGTTTTAAATTTTACAATGGAGACTATCTGACCACAAAGCGAAAACATGAATACATACACATACGTAGTTTTTTTGTGTGTGTGTTTCAGATTCATACCTGTATAGTCCTGGCGGCCTAAACCTAGCCATCAAGACACAAAGGTTAAAAAATAAAACCAAACTTAGCAGGCGCCCAGTGAGTGTGATTATTCAGGGGTGTGACTGGTCTCACTTTGACGGCCCCTCTTCCTATCTATTGACCTGGGTTGTCTGTTCTCTCGCTTTTACCCTTGCGTCCTCCAGGTGGCAGTATGCAGCAGAAAAACTGGGAACTAAGGAGACTAATGCACAGTCAAATTGGAAATTGAATTATAGCAGAAGGGACAGTAGCCTTGAGGTCTCCATCAGCCTGCACCCTGATCACTTTTGTTTGCGGTACCCATGTGTTAGGTGCCCAGCAAGTTAATAACTGCACGTGAGCAGTTCAAGGCTCAGTAGAATTGCTTTAGACATGAAATAAAGCTAAAATGAATTTGTGTCCAATATCGTTGCCATTAGTGCACATTACTTCTGTGCTGTAATGCCTCAAACCATCTAAAATCAATTGTAAAGATCACCCTTATTTTATAGAGAAAATAAAACACATTTCCAACAGAAACAAAGCCGTGTGTACACTCCTATGAAGAGCCACTTGTCCTGTGGCTGGTGGGAAGCTGCCATCAGGAGGCCACAGGAAAAACGCACGGTTCAGACTTCACAGCGGGCCCAAGTTCCTATCGGGCTTGTTCCCGTGAAACTCTTTCCTAATCCGAATTATTCAGGACAGGAATAGGAAGCATTTGTAAACGAGGAAGATAGATTTTAGTGCAGTCAAAAGGTTTTGCTGCTTGACAAACGAACCTTTGTCATGGGATATGGCCATCTTCAGGGAGGACCAGGGCAGAGGACACGAGCACTTAGACTCTTGGAGAAGCACGATAGTCTTGATAGTCTTGCTTTTGCTTTTAGTTAAGAGTGGCCCCCCCCCCGTTATAAGTCTGTTAAGGCAAAGGGGTGACTGGATTCATGCATTTGTAGACATTCGCCTTCTTCAAGAAATAATTGTGTTATCTGGGAGCAAAGGATGTGGTGTTGTGGTGCCTTTGGTATTTAACAAAATTGATATTAATGGCCAGAAAAGAATCATTTATCTAATTACTTGTTTAAAAATATAAGACATAAAGAGAGTTCATTTCACCTGAAATATATGATCTAGTTTTCACAGTCTCCGTATGAGAAAATCCCATGTTAGGCAAAATGACTCATGGGTTGTAGTGTCTACCTTAACTCTTGTATGCTGGTCCCAGTATCTCCGGTAATATACCACTACTGAACAATTAATAGAGACTCAGTTATCACACATCAGAAATATTTGCTAACAAACTAGTTTTTAGTTAAGTGAGGAGACACTGCCATGGTTTCTATTCTGCAATAGCCCAGAGAAGCACATACTGACTGAGGTTAAGAATGTGACCGTGCTGGATTCTTGCTGCAGGGCCAGGTTTTAACCCTCCATCTGGTTCTGCTCAGCTTTGAACTGTTTTTGTAATACGTTTCAGCCTGTCCTGTTGGACTACTAGTATGTACTTAGCACCAAATTATCCCACTTGGGGAAAAAGGCTTGGATCAAAATTACATGGTTACTTCTTTTGACAAGAGATGCACTGTTGCTGAAGATTCTTCAGCAGTTTCTGGTTAACTTTAGGTATTAGAAAAGCCACCTCAAAGGAGCCCTTGTAAACGTGTGCTTGTGTACACCAATAAAGTTTTCAATTGTAGATTATGCTGAGGAGTATACTGGATTTTTATATAATTTTAATGGTAGCTGAAAGTTTCACGACGGCTTGTCCAATAAAGACTGTGGCACTGACGTGCCTCGGGCCACGCATTTTCGAAAGCAGACTAAATTTCTATAACCACATAAGCAAGATATTTCCATAGTTAATCTATGTGGTCTTAACAGATGGTAGAGTTGAAGAAATGTCCTTGAAGTTATTCTTTTAGCAGATGCCCTCAGCCATTAGCTCCATGTTTTTACCCACCTAAGATTCCAAATAATTGAGCATCGGGGCAAAGTCCTCAGAGCAGAGAGACTGTGGCACAGGCATGCTTTTGCAAGGGCCTCGCTACCTTCCACCCGCTCTCTGCCCGCTTATCAGTTGCCTCCTTTCCCCCTTTCCTAGAGTCCTGCAGAACGCCCTGCTGCTCTCAGACAGCAGCCTCCACCTCTTCCTGCAGAGCCACCTCAACTCCGAGGACATTGAAGCATGCGTCTCTGGGCAGACCAGGTACTCCGTGGAAGAAGCGATTCGCAAGTTTGCCTTGATGAATAGACGGTTCCCCGAAGAAGACGAAGGAAAAAAGGACAACGATGTAGATTATGATTCAGAGAGGTATTTCTTTTCCTGCACTTTGATTTAACAGACGTGTTTATATAACACACAGTGTCCGTGTGCATGCACATAGATACGTACACATTTTGCTTTTTGTTGATGTAATACTAAGATAATGAGAAAATTAATTGACTGAGATTTTATTGAGCTGTGACAGCTCATCATAGCGGTCTTCACACACACCTCCACACTGAATTAATGAATGCAGCAGAAATTCAATTATCTGCATTCTGATTATGTGACTTTCATTTAGTCAGACTTGAATTATTCGCGTTTAAATTATCTAGCTAAAAAAATATCCAACTGCACTCCAAATGGCTAATTAAAAGTCCAAATTTCCTGTCTCTCTTTGTGACTGGAGATAATTAAAGTTCTCCTCTGTTACTCAGGCTTTGAGTGTGTTGTGAAAACCAATTTCCTCTTTTTATTATTTTCCCCTCTCTTCTTTTCCAGTTCATCCTGTGGACTTGGACACAGTAGTGATGACAGCAGTTCCCATGGATGTAAAACAAGCCCAAGCCCGGCCCTGCAGGAGTCCTGAGAAGGAATCCTGGGGCCACCACCTTAGGCACAGAATCACGCCCAGCCGGAGAGAACGCTTGCTCACAATAGATCCTTATCTAATGCCACTGTTGCTGTCTTAGGTAGTTAAACACTTACAGTGGTGGGTTCTTAGTGGTAGTGTTTTTACGTTGTCTAATTTTAGCCAGGCTTCTGTATAAAGCCGTGAGGTCTGTGAATGCCATACAACCCTCTATTGCTATATAATACGTGTAAATACAATCCTGCTCTCAAGTGAGGTGAGTTACATGCTGTATATATAAAAATGAAGTCCAGCTGGTCTAACTGAATTTTAAAGAGCTAGGTGTATCAGTAGCATTTCAAGCCAGACGGAGCCTCCCTGCAGTGTCAACAGTAAACAGAGAGTGACTGGAGTCACGGCACGTCACACCGCCTCTTTGACACGCGGCTCTTGTTTTGTGGAGAATCCCACTACTCTGGAAAATGCTTTGCTTTTGGGTGTTTGATTGACATATTTAAGAGTATTTAAGCTTTCCAGTATACTATTTCACATGTAAATGGAAAATATGTCTTACAAATAAAGACGTATTAAAATGATGTTTACATCTTAGAGGGAAGAAATAGAAAATATGCCCGTGATTTTGCTTAAATTTGCCATCCGTGGATTTAGAAATACATTCTCACTGTCCAAAAATGAGCTTAAACATGGCTTCTGGCAACAAGTCATTTTACCATTGTGTAGTTAGAATCATAGCTTATGGTTTATTTTCTGATATTAAAAAAATGTGCATTAAAAAAATCACCTGGTAACTTTGGTCAGTGGTGGCTCCTCACAACGTATCTTAAAGTTAGAAGAAGGTATTTATAAGATTTAAGTTAATTTTACCCGTAAATACTTCAATAACTTTGGAGTGGAAGACAGGTTGCTAATGTCAGAGCTCATATTGTTTTAGAAGTCCTTTCTTTTAAGGTATCTACCTGAAGATTGGCTTAATTTGAATAAAATAGTTTCTCTCTCTCTTTGTGGCCTGAAGATAAGATGTCTTGGGTCACTGTGGGCTTCCAGTTTCAGATGGGGCAGCATTTTCCTGGGATAATTAGCCGAGTCCTTCCCGTTAGTGATGCAGAGCATCTTCGGTAGCTGAAAGAAGGTATTTTCACCCATGTGGGATAACTTGTTGCTTTCAATGAATGGCTCCTGCTCCCATTGGGTGCAAAAGCTACTGCAAAAACACTTGGGTGTTTAGTCATTATTGTGATTAATAAAAAGTTACTGGATTGTCCTTTGTCACACTTGTTTCAAAGAATTGGTAAAAAAAGAAACAGAAACATTACATTTAGAGTAAGGGTGATTATTTTAATTTCTCCTTTTTAAAAAATTCTGTCTGAAACATATATGAAACATCTGTAAGTGTTCTGATTTAGTGTCTTGGATCTTGTCCTCAAATATGAATTTCCTGCCGGAAGAAAAGGGTTTGGCAGCTGCTTCTCTGGCTGCATGGAAAGTTTTAATGCAGTTCCCACTCCTCAGTAGTAGACACGAATTCACAACGTTTATGTTCTACAGCATCTTTGAAAAGCATATATTGTGTCACCAGTTATCCAGCTGCTTCTTGATGAGATAATAATGTAACCATTGAAGTTAATATATTGACGCTTAATATTTGCTCTGTAAACTTCACGAGGTTATTGTTTTCACATTAAACATAAAAAACTGGCAGTGTTGGATCACTTATTTTACTTCTGACTCAGACTAAACTAAGTTATTTTTAAAATTACTGATGTTTTTTTTTTACCGAGGAACTTCACTAAGACTTGCTTGACATTTGCAGCAGTCCTGTCTGCTCTGCTCTAGCTATTGTGACATCCAAGCACTTGCTTTTTCAAACTGGCTTCTGGGGGCCTAGATATTTAGATGAACTTCAGTTTCCAATGGTCACTTGCTTTGTGTTTTACCTTTATGTCTGGAGAACAAAGTAGCTACACATGTAACTAAATAGACGGACATTTGGTACTGTTTTTTTTTTTAATGTGAATTATGCTTTAGGGTTCTAATTCTGGAAGCCTTATGATTTACATTCATCAAAAATCTTGTTTTCCTGGCTAATTCTGCAAGGGTAGATCTCATACATGGAAGGTCATAGTCCTTATAGGTAGCTAAAGGTGTCAACAATGAAAGCCAACAACCTGGTACTTAAAGATTTCAAGTCTCATTTTCTAACAAGTGATTTTAATTCTAGTTTAAAAATTTCAGTTAAAAAAAAAAAAAACCACCGGGGGAAATCACAGGTGTGTCTTGAATCACTCGTCATTCCTTAAGATACTAAATGCATATTGCCAGAGCTGTTTAAGTCTACTTCATGTGCTATTTAACAGTTAAATACAAACAAGTCATATGCAACATTACAAGTCAAAGCATAGAATGTCTTGTATGACATAAGAGTTTTAGCAAATTTATTCATCTTAGTCGTGTTACATCCAATAGCGGTAGCTGGATGTTGTTTTGAACTCAGCTTAATTTTGGTGCTTTATCATCGAGTTAAGTGTGTACAGTAAGGTTTTAAGGATTGAGACTTTGCCTCGGGTTTTTCTTTTTTGGTGCAAAAATTAGGAAGGCTTATTCTGTTTCTAAATTGTCTTCCTCTTAATATTTAAATCAGTTAGTTGCTACCTTATGAATACAGAGCAGCATCTTCACAGAGGAAACATTTTATTTCAAAACAGTTTTATTTAGGAAGAAAACTGTTTCTTAATTTGCTATAGACACATGTCCAAATATAAAATGTCTGAACTTGGTTGTGGCAACTTGACATTCATTAAAGGAGTAGACACAGTTTTTGCAAGTCTATGCAAGAAACGCAGACATTTTAATAGAATGGAGCAAAAAAAAAAAAAAAACCCAAAAATCTAGTATGTAAAGAAAACAATAACTTTGGATTTTGATGTGTTTACAGAGGATTTGGGGCTTTGTTCCTAGCCATAGGCATCACGTCACCATTGTCCCCTTAAGTCAAACACAATTGCTCTTCCCTGTTGCAGGAAACTTCTAAGTCCTTATTAAGAACAGTGCGTTGGACACTATTTTAGCTACACAAACTCTGGTAGTTCATGACCCTTTTTCTTCAAAATTCCAAAGACTTCTTTTCAGAAGATAGAGCAGAAAAGAGGGAGAGAAGAAAACTAAGCAACAAAAATTTCTGCAGAATCCTCCGTGCTTTAAGCTAAAGAGAAGGGTGGATGCTGCCGAAGCCGGCAGGCTCTGCGTGGCATAACGCGTGGATTCGCGGCTCTTACCTGGGCTTTCTTTATAGCTCAGCCCCCACCCCCGTGGGCCTCGGCTCAGCAGCCCGCACGCTCCCGCCATCCCACGCACGCTCCCGCTTCCTCGGTCCGGTAACCCATGGCAACCGCCCTGGTAACCCATAGCAACTGCTCTGCGGAACCAGGTGGGGCGGGGGAGCCATTTGGAGTGGGCGGGTGGAGAGCGATTTACCACTGCCCACCTGCCTCGGGCACCGCCAGCGTCCCGCACCGGACAGTGAGGACCAAACAAAGCCTCCCGCACACGAGCCAGCGCGGGTGGGGGAGGCACGTGGGCCTTTGTTCTTCAGACGCCGCCCGCCGAGAGCGTGCACATGGCTGCACCCGCGCCAGCCTTAGCTGACCCCACACTGTGCTGTGCGCGTATCCCCCAGGAACCTGGAACCTTCCAGACCCAGACCCGAGCTCAATATGCTAACGCGTCCATCTCTCCTTTGGACCCGGCGCCAAGTCCGGGTGGCAGAACTGGGTCGCTGGGGAAGGAGCGCATGCTCCTGGGTGAGGCCGGTGTGTCACGGATGGGGAGATGTAGGTCCCCAAGCTGCTGCGCCAGGCCACTTGAGGATGGCCGGCGGTGCGAGGCCATGGGTGGACGGACGGGGTCGCTGTCGGGCAGCTTGGCGCAGCTGGTACCCTGCGGGCTCTGCCCAAAGCATCATCTGCTCCCTAGTGCTCTCCAGACCCCACGGCTGCAGTGAAATGGTTCAGGAAACGTGTCTCTGCATCCGGCCATAAAGCCGGATGCAGGGTGAAGGAGAGACAGCGCTGAGAGTCCAGAGGTTTCAGATCACGCTCCACCTAACTGTGGCTCCAAGCTCATTTGGACGGTTTTACATTTTTTTTTTTCAAAAAACAAAACGTTTGGCCGGGATGACTTCGTGGCCCTCGGAGTCCTCGATTCTACCCTCTATATGTGCCCATCACTTACAAATCCAAATAGCAAAGCCGCTAGGAGCATCCTTTTTGGCGGCAAGAACTATACATGTGCTGTGTACACTTGTATAATGTGCCTTCCTTTTCAGCTTAACTAGGTTCACCATGGGTTACACATTTAATTGTACTTTGCCTGCCTGACAAGAGAAGCTGGAGTCAGATCTTAATCCCTTCATAAAAAAAAGAGCATCTTCAACTGTTTATATTTGCCACAACTGATCTTAGGGGAACTGGGTTTATTCTTACAAACACAACCTCTGGGAGGTATAGAGAAGTCTATGAATTGTAGGGGTTGGAGCACAGGTACTGACCATGCATACTGGTGCTCAGAACAATTCCAGCCCTCAGCACGGTGGGTGGTGTGTTAGGAGGCCCGTACTTTAATTTTTTTTTTAACAAAAGCAATTACAGAAAAGTGCACATTTAACGTGTGACATTTAACATTTTGCGGTGGCAGGCAGCCTCCACTTAAATGGGGCCTTTCTTCGGAACAACAGGAGCCAAAAGGCCTTGTGTCATGGAGTAATGTAAGACACAATCTGGGCTGCAAACGCACAATGAATCGGGAAGGATTTATGTAATTAATTGACCAGTCTTAACCTGTTATCGTGATGTAAGGAATTTGGAACTCATTAATTTGGGCTCTGACAGATTTCATATTAGAGCTGGCAAATATGGATTGAGCCTCTTATTCTTGTAGCAGCTGGAATTTCCATGACAGTGAGGGTTACCGGAGAAGACCTATTGCAGAGTCAAACTGCTCTTTTGTAATCAGTAGCCCTGCTTTGCATTAAAGGGATAATGAAAAAAAAAATTACCTGGCTTGGCAAGTGGAAGGGCCTGAGTTCACCCTGCTGCTCTATGTGGTGAGTGTGAGCATTCCCAGCTGAGAGAAAACAACTAATTCCAACCTTAAAGTTGGGTGGCTTCTCAAGTGCCCTGAGATAGAAGCCCGAAGAGTCTTGGAGTCAAGGTTCTCTTTGCTGTCAAAGTTAAGAAGGAATTAAAAGACGGGAGTCTTGGAATCTCTTCTACGTGGACAGGGACTGCGTGATAAAGGACTTGCCAGGGACAGCCGGGAGTTCTGTTAGTGCCTGCCCACAGATGAGCAATTCAGAGCCCCCGGCTCTCTCAAGACCCACTTCCTGCCTCCTGGTCAGAGCCCCTTAGCATAATTTAATCTGGATTCCCTTCCCACTGATGTTTAGTGAGTCACCCATTTGAAAACATCAGCTTCTTTGTGATTTTACAAAAACCTAGTAAAAGCCCGACTTTCATTTTTTACTCTGCTTGACAGTCAGAAAATTGCTAGGTTAGAAAAAGGTCCCTGAGATTAAACGGAATGTTTTTCCCCTTTCTCGCACATTAGGCCTCCCTTATTGCTGTGCTGTGTGATAAGGTTAATACAACAACTGCCATAAGGATCATTAATACAGGAAGATAAGCAAAGTTGCACATTTAAAACGTTTGCTGGGATCATTTGCCTCCTTCTGCCGATAAGGAAGACTTTGCTAACAAATCTAGAGCAGAGGCCCAGAATACTTAGACCAAAAGTCCCATTGACCTTTCCTAATGCGTTATTATTCATAAATGCTCTTCAAAGTTGAGTATTGACTGCTCTTGAGCTTTATTTGTAATTGTCACCTTAAAAACTTTCTGCCATTATAACAACTTATGTTTTAATAGGACAAACATGGTTAATAAATCTTGGGAGGAAATGAACCGATTTCCATTCCTTTCCCTCCGTGATTCCAACCAATGCCACAGTAAAGAATTTTAGTTAGGGCTAATAGGATTTGATCTATCAAAGTACTCGGTGAGAAATTTGTTTGGGATGGCCTCGTTAAGGAGTGATTTCTTTGGCTTTGGCTCCATTGAAATGAATGTGCAATGATGAACACTCGACATTTGCATCAATATATTAGCGTTATCCTTCACGCTGAGCAAGAAGAGCTGGTAGCTGTGATTGTATTATTATTTCAGTGGCATGGCGAAGAAGATGAGCAACTGATAGCCAGGCTTGGGTAACTGGCACAACCCTGACAGGCCATTAATAGTGTAGGTGAGCACACTCCAAGTTTATTCACGCAATCACAGGCTTCGTATAGGGGTTTCTTTTCTTTTTTAACAATTGTGACACTATCGGCTCTGTGTATACTCTTTATGTAAAGCACGCGTATAGAACAGACAGACTGAAGTGCGGCTAACTAGAGACAATGTTGATCTGGAAGTCTGGTAAACCAGATTCCGGCTCAGTTTCCAGATTGTCCCCAAGGGCAGTTCCCAACTCCTCCATTTCCACACCAGTATCACAAGAAATCTGGGTACAGAGTGTCCTGCGGATATTCCCTAGAGCACTGGGTGGAATCTGAGAGACCCAAGTAAACATTCCTAAGATAAAAGGGATGGAGGTTTTAATGGCCCACAGTGCTCCAGACCCATTGGAACAAGTTAGGTTAGCATTAA